TCCCTGCCATCATACCAGGTACCCTCAACCACCCCGAAACAGCTATGTTTCCCTTCCCGTGTGTGCCCACTGGCCAGATTCAAGAAAGTTGCCCCATCCAAGACAGCTATTGGTGCACTCAGCTACTGCTGTCACTTCAGTGTTCTCCCGAACAAGGGCAACACCAAATCACGTCTAGCAGAAGTCAGCCTGAATTTGGCAGATCTGTGTACCAAACATCTGTTGCCCCAGCTGAAGTGATACTGAGGGTTTTACAATAACATAAACATAATTGCACCTAGGGTAAAACGGGACTTGATAACATTGCTTGGGAATAACAGTATTTTTATTTTAACAACTTTGCCTGTAGCCTTCAGAAATTTTCCTTCCCTGTGCTGGTACCTTGGGATATGAACACACGGTCTCTTGGGGAGGTAGCTGCAGTGGCTGCAGCAGCAATGCTGCCCACAGGGCATTACTGCCCTTCACTGGACATTCCTGTTGCCTACCCTCAACCAGCAGTAAATACTCCCTGAAGGGGATTTCAGCAGTTCTGTTTTACTTGGCATAAAAACTAGCTGGGAGTACTCAAGCAGGGTTTTACTTCATTTCAGATACAAATGCAATAACTTCCAGTTGAGGAAAAGTAATGAAATGCTGGAGGCAGTAATCTTTTAAACTGTTCCAGGGTGATCCACAGGAGCACATCATCTCCACCCTCACCATGCCTATTTTTGCAATCAGACATTTCCAGTGCTACCCTAAGCGCATGGTGCTGCCTTAATTCAGGCAGACAGCTCCTTGGGAAGTGCGCTTCGCAGAACAGTTGGAGCGAGTTTTTTTGGTTCAACTGTTTCAGCATGTATCTGTTGCCATATGGGAAATCAGATCAGAGGCAGACAGTTAACTTCTATTCAATTACTTTTATTTTTACAGATAACAACATACTGTCAGCAACAGCAGAGGTTTAGATGTCTTTCAGATCAAACAAATAGCTATCACTCATATTCACTTGGAAAAATACTGTGGAACAAGTTAGAATTTTTAAAATATAGGGGTTTTTTTCTATGTGACTTAAGAAATTGTAATACAGGAACATAGCGTAGGTTAGTACAGGCTAGCTTTCATTCTGGAGAGCTGGTAAGTTTTTTCCATGTCACCTTATGCATAATTTCTGCTTCTATCAATTTATCCAGAACACAGCTGAAAGTACAGCCCAGAAAGCTCTGCCACTCTAGACATATCTGACACTTTAAATAGATATCGTCCTTGAACTTCTAAAACATTTCAGGCCTGTGTAACTTTTATCACTACGTACAGGACTGCTGCAATATATTTAGGAATGTTTAAGTACCATCAGATAGATGGCAGCATCATTTCTGGTAGAAAAGAAGTATTGTCATTAAACAGCAGTAAACAATTTGCATTTCAGAAGACATAACTCTTTAGAAGAATTTTGTCAGAAGGATTTTCTGTTTCATGTTTAGTTTCTCCTGAATTTGGAATGAATTCAGACCTCCTCAACAGCAGTATTACACAATCTAAATATTACAAGTGCACCATTTTTAAATTTGTCTACCTAGATATTGTTCTCTGTGATATGGAACTATTTTGCACTTTTAAAACTGAGTTACAGTTCCAGATTGTCTCCTGTAATTTAAACTCTGAATCTGCTGAATTTGCAGTTCATGTAAATGAAAAGTCTATTACTGAGCAAGTCAGAGGATTTTGTGAAATGAAGGATAAAAGAAACTAAGCCTGCATTTTGCCCTTCCAAGTTTAGAAATCATCTGAAAAAAAAATTATTTTATCATAAATAGTACAATGTGGGATTTCTTACCCCTGGAAAACTTTGTTACTGTATATATTTTAAAGCTTCTTTTATAAATTTTAAATTTTAATGTCTAAACAGTAAAAAGGTTCCACGTCCATAGCATGATCTTAAATGCAATTTCTTTTAAATTGCTTTATGAGAGAGGGATCATGTATGTTTCTTAATAGTGGAAAAGTCTAGATATGGGAAAGGATTTTAGTCTAGGACATCCAAAGGACTTTTTTGTTTTACTTGAGAGATACATATCTAGCCTATTTCATCTTTATCATAGCTATCCTGAAAAAAAAAAAAAGAACCTACAGTGGCAGCGGTTTTACTCTGTTTTGTTTATTTATTTTTTCTATTTTCTGTGCTCAAACTGACATTAATTTCAGGCTGGGACGTAGTGGTCCTAAGCCATCTGTGATGGGACCAGGCTACCTGCAGAAAGGAACCTTGACCTTTAGCGGGGAGAAAAACTTAGCAAAATGTTTACATAGGATACACTCCAGCAGGGAAGAACCACCTTTAATCACAGCATAGAAAAACAAATCGCCATGAATAAAAGTGGGATGGCAGTTGGGACAAGGCTTACAGCCATCAAAAGAATGCGGATCTGGAATATTCCTCCATGGGGAGCGATAGTGGAACATTTTAAATTTGCTTTAAACTTGCTCATTTTAAAATGTAGTTTGATCCACCTAAGAGCGGGATTTTATGACTTCCTTGCCTCAGGAGCAAAGGGCTGGATTTGGCACCCAGCAAGACCCCTCCAGGTCTGCATGTCTTCGTGGCAACATGCTAACTGGTTGGCATATGTGTGCTGCAACAGCTTTGCCATGAAGACTGCAGTGCTCATGTTAAAACAGGCTCTTACATAGCCCTAAAACCAATATCCCCTAGAAAATTGCACTTCCCGAGTCTGCTCTTTGCTGGTGAATACTAAGCGAGGCGATGAGTCAGGTGAAGCTGACCCACAGTCGCTTGAGTCACACGCAGCTGCTGAGCCCGCAGGAGCTCCGAAGGTTCAAAACATGCCCCTCTGGTGGCACCTCCCCACGGCATGCTCTTGACACACACTCGGGATGGATGCTGGTCCCCACAGGACACTGGGCTCAGCCATGGGACCAGCCCCAGTTTCTACCAACACCAGTGAGCTATCATGCAGCCCACACGCTTAGACTGCTTAGGACAACCAGGCTGCAGCATTTAACTGATGTGCCAAAAGGACTCTTTATATTACATTGCATTGGCTCAGTTCTGCCTTTGGGTAAAGTGTTATTTTACATATTGTTGACTCCAGTAAAATTGGAACCGCGTACCTGAAGACTGCAATTCACCCCATTTGTTTAATGAAGGACTTTAGGGTAGGATTTTGAGAGTGAAAAAATGTTGCTGTCTGCCAGTTACTTTTAGAGCCAGATGTTTGGTCAAAACGTAGTTTAAGTCCCACTAATGGGGAAATCAAGTCCTGGGAAACAGGCTATATCTATAGAATTACGTCTGTATAAAATACTTTATGGTCCCTTAATCATTTATGGCTAATTCTTTCTGGATGGCAACTGCTGAAGGGGGTGGTGGAAGGGCCAATGAGAGCAGGGGGGGAGACCAGTCCTATCTCATTCCACACTTCAGAGAAAACAGATCCAATATCCACTGCTTTGCCAAATAGGCAGTTTAATTTTCACAGACCGTAGGCTTGTACCAGATGTGAATATTGGCTATGGGCCAGCTTTAAGCGGTGAGAGTGAAACACAGCTACCTCTCCCTTTTTCAGTGTCTTTTCATCAAAGCACGCGGGCTTCAATTTAAAAAAAAAAAAAGTGTTTATTAATGCACATGAATTCTCCTTGTGGAGAACGGCACTGCCGTGAACCTTGGCTGCCTGCTTGAGTCAGGACATACGCTCAACGCAATAGGTGCCCCCGATGCCCAGACAACATGCTGCAGCCATTTACCATATGTCATTGGCCATAGGCCTCGTAGGGATCAATTTCTGTGTCTTGAAGAAGGAAGACCTCAGCAGTATTTTGCAGGTCAAAGGCAGCAATCCCAGCCTGTCGCCATATGGGCGAGGTGTAGGTCACCAAATCAGACGGCACTGTAAATCAGCAGGTGGAGGTTGGACTCAGAGACTCTCTTGGAATTGTCCGGGCTTTGAAAAATAAAACAATAGAAGGTGTGTTCTTACCTCAGTTGCCTTGGGGGCATTAGCAAACTCCATTTGAAACAGTGCTGAAAGCAAGGTGAGGTATCTGGGATGGCAGCTCAAAATGAAGCCCACCTGAGCTCAAGCGGTTAACTCCCATGAGTTTCCAGGTTCCTTTGTCTCTGGTGTTATTTTAGTGACAGCAAGCTCACGGCATTTAAGAATGCACTTTTTTTGTAGTATAGACATCTCCTCAGTTATGATTCATGTCATTCTGCTGCATAGGCTTATTGAAATTCCTCAACATGTCACTCACCCTCAAGGCTTCATCACATTGTGTGAGTATGACTATAAAACTGTGCTGAAACAGAATTAATTTGGGACTTGCATTTATTGTCATTTTTATGCAGCTGAACTTTGTTCTGGTAGGCAAAACTCATAGTATCGTTTGATATGGAGTGACCAGCATAAAGGTTGAGATTCATAAAAGTTTTATTTGAATATTTGCCTTGATTTTGACTTCCCACACTGTCCTATTGAACACATTTTGCCATTTTGTTTGTCAGAAAGTGGTTTGAAAATGTTCCTGGTTATACAGAAGATCTCAACAGCACCTTTCTGATACACTTTCTCTCCATTTTGTGACCCAGGACTTGCTGTTGGTCTGGATCCACAAGGCTATGGGAACCCTGATTTCTGCTGGTTGTCTGTTCATGACACCCTTATCTGGAGTTTTGCTGGGCCCATCGTAATCGTTGTAGTTGTAAGTATGGTGGAATTGGCATCCTGAGCTGTCTCTTCCTTGCTGCTACCTTTTTTTTAATGTTTTATCAACCAATAGTCATAATGTGAAATGACTATATTCTTTCCATTTGAAGCTGATTTACTCCAGCTTGCTTCTTTTGCTTAAACAGATAAGACATGAGCTAAGCTCCTGGAAATCAGAGGGCTTCCTGCCAGTGCAAAGGTTGCTTGTGGAGCAATGGCTGTATGGCCAGAAACGTATTTATTTTTTCCTGTTTGCTTTGTTCCATGTTTGTGAGCTTATAAAACAAATCTACCAAATGAGCCATAACAAGTCCCTTCATCCAGAAGTCCTAAAGGGGTATTAAATAATTCCAATTGCAGGAATTAAAAAAAAAAAATGGCCTGGTGTTTAACTTCTCTGTTAAAACATCCCTCATTAACAGAGCACCAGAAGGTACATATCCATCGTGTGACTGTATGTTGAATACCAAGTGTGGTCTCCTCACTTCAAAAAGTATGAAGTAGACCTGGAAGGTGTGTAGATTTGGGTCACTAGACATCAGAGGTACGGGACAGCCCCTGCTGAAGGAGTAACTAGGTGGACTAGGAGCCTTCAGCCTAGAGAAGAGAAAGGTGCAGAGACGGGGAAGGGAGGAGCTTGTAATAGCATGGTGGCCTGGAGAATATGGCCATGAAGCCAACTGTTCAGTGTATGTTCCAACACAATTAGCAGTAGGAAGTGGCAGATTCAGAACAAACAGGACAAGCTACATTGTCGCTCCACAGGGAGGTAAGTTAGAAACTCAGAAACAAGACGGTGGTGGTGGTAAAGCTCTGCATGGTTTCAGAAAGTAACCAGACAAATTGCCAGCATCGTTATTCAAAATGAATTATTAAGTGCAAATGCACCACCCTACCTAGTACATTCCAGCTCTGGAAATCAGTGGAGGCTGGAGGAGTATTCAGAGGAATTATTGCCATACGCTTGCGCTGTTACTAGATTCTGCTTTGGCCCAGCTGAAACAAGATGCTGGGCTGAGTGAACCCGGGTCTGGACAAGGACAGCCATTCTTGAGTTTTTATGTTTCACTCCAGCCTCTTTTCATAGGGCTGTCTTACTGGGTTTCATCCAGATCAAGTCCCAGGATGTTCTTGACTGTGTGGCTTGAAATAAGATGAATTTTGGAACTTTGAGACGTGTAAATTGAAAGAAAAATATTCTTGGAACCGCAAACCATTTTAGGATAAAAATTGCATTGTCATTGAAAACTGAGCCCTAACAACTTTATAGAAAGAATCCACGCTGTTATTTCAATTTCCTTTTCAGATAAACACTGTCATCTTTATACTGGCAATGAAAGCATCGTGCAGACGAAGGCAACGTTCATTTGAAAAAACTGGAGTTGTGTAAGTTTGGGCTCAAAAACCTGTAGACAAAGTTCTGGCCAGGAATAATAAAGAGACAGAATTGTCTAAAAGCAAGTGTTGGGGTGGGAAATACATAAGATATTTGGAGGAGACAGTCAGCATTGGTAGAGGAGATTGGAGCTGCTTCACCATCACTTACTCCTAGGGTTCCCTTGGAGGCTCTCTAAAAACACCACCATGCTGCTCTGCACCACCAAGTGTAGGCAGGAGAAGGGAGGGGAGAGGGAAAGGTCTGGTCCCCAGATGGTATCATTACAGTCCTTTCAGAACTTTCATCATACTCCCTACAACACTGTCACTTCGCCTCCACCCATGGCATGCCCTGGTAAGACATAGTTCTTGGTCTCCCTGTGCTCACCTATGGCTCAGAAAGGTCTCCGCTCACGAACGCCAGGGTGACCGGCCATGTCGTGGCAGAGACCCATCGAGGTTTCCATGCTGAGGGCCAGCCTCCCTCCGTCCCACTCCCTGTGGGACGAGCAGAAAGCCTCGCAAGCTGCAACCTGCCGCCTTCCTGAGCTGCTGTGGCAGCATGTTCCTATTAATGTCTGTTTTGCCCAAAGCTCAGAATTTACCTGTGAACTGAAACATGATTAGCTAGTGGCAAGACAGCCCTTTTTTATTTTTTCATATAGGTAGCAGTATGAGATTTCAAAAGGCTTTTTCCAGCTATTTGTTCAGCCCTGGCTGCTGGGTAATTTTTTTCTTTTTTAAATCTCCCTAAACAAATGAAGTATAATTGCTACTTAATGGCAGCTCTTTTATTCATAGTACAAAACTTTTGCCACTGGAATTGTGACCATCTTTTGAAAGCGTCTGTGGAAAAATTTTTTTAAGTAAACAAATATTCCCGAGTGCCCTCAATCTAAAACCCTGGGCTGTAATGTTGAGGAGGAATGTGAGAGTGAACTTGACAAACAGAAATGAGACGGATGTGGCCATTTACCGCCCAGATCTCTTCCTCAGAGTCAACAAGGCTGAACAGCATGGGCTTGGCGAACAGCCTGGTTTGTTTAACGAAAACCTTGGAAACAAACTTGAAAAGAAAATACCTTTTTTTTACCTGACTATGCTAAGTCATTGAGTACTGCAATGGGAGAATTGGGAACTGGGAGCTGGTGAACGCTGCCCTAATTTTCCCCAAGGTCCTTTCCAGTTGGCGAATCCTCGGGCACATGGCACCGCCTGTGCGGAGAAGTTGGGCTGTTCTCCTGTATCCTGTCACGCTGCAAATGCCCATCTGTGTTTGCTTTACAGCTCTGTGCTGCGTACGGCGTTCCTGCTCTTGCTGCTCATCAGTGCCACGTGGCTGCTGGGGCTGATGGCGGTGAACAGCGATGTCATGACGTTTCACTATCTCTTTGCCATTTTCAGCTGCCTGCAGGTAAGTTGGATGGTGTCTTGTCCGTGGCAGACCTCAGTGAGCATGCTGCTGCACCTAGACCTCCAGAAACCTGCTAAACATGAGCTGACAGAGATGTCAAGTACAATTTTTGCTCTCTTTTCTCAAAGAGAGGGTTCTTTTCACAAAAAACACAACTTTGAGTAATTTCATCTCTCACTTCTAGTCATTCTAAAGATAAGTGCTCTACTACTGTAACCTGTGACAGATAAATAACAGAAGGCAATTATACCTCTGGTTTCGTAGAGACAAAAATCTTTGTTACTGTCTTCTGCCTGCTCATTTTCAACAGTTGTTCTGTTGCTACGGCGAATAAGAGACTGTTTTATTTCACCCAGAGTGGATGGCTTCAAGTTCAAGGCCTTCACAAATTAAGTTACTGTTTAAGGAAATGAAACAAATAATTATTTTCAAACACAACCCATTGCATTAGGGATTTACTAGGTTGCCTGTCCTCACGTGCGCGCTTGTTGATTAAAGATGCAGAACATAGTTATTTGTAGGAGACCTGGCACGGAAGTAGTCATGAAGCTTCATGTTGGTCACAACTTGAATGTGACCAAGGACAGCAGTAACTGTTGTGGTAAGTTCCTGCAGTATTAAAACAGCTACTGCTAGCAGGTCACTCTTGTCATCTGCAGCAGAACAGCCACAGATTGCTTCCAAGGAGAAAAAGAAGTCTGATGGGTCTCCACCCCAGACAGGCCAGCCTGGAGCAAGGTTATTTTGCCATTGCAACTGGTGTGCTCTGAAATAAATACACCTAACTCAGGCTGTAAAACCAGGCTTCGACAAGCCTAAAATTAAATTAAATTAAATATAAACCTGTTGAGAGGGAGGAAAGTCAGCAGCTGGAATTCTCCAAACTTGCCCAGAGAGGCACAATGTATGTGGCGTTTCACGTCATTGCCTTCTTTGAACTTGCATTTTTAGAGAGACATTTATGTGAATTTTATTAATGAATAATCCCAAAGTGCTAATGCCAGCTAAGATCCCGTTTGATTGAATGTTTAGAAAGTGAGCCTGAAGTTTAAAGTTTCTCTAGGTCAATTGCTTTGGCTGAAATGATGAAATGCAGGCATCTTGTGGTGTTGGTACAGCTGCAACTTCATGAGTGATTGGCTTCTATATACTATATCTCCAACCAAAATTGATAACAATTTGGCAGCTGCATGAATTCCCTCAGAGTGAATACATCTGAAGGCACACACGTGTGTGCCCCGTGCCCCCTGCCCCAGCAAAAGCTGTTGATGTGGGTGTCTGGCAGCCAACAACTGCCCAGCCCTGAGGATTTCAGCAATTTTCCCACAAAAGGTATTGCTTAACCGAGAAAATTGTGGGGCAGAAGTTGGGACCTCTCTGCCCGTAGTATCTCTCCACATTTCACAATGCTTCCTAAACTTCTCTAAGCAGCAGTATTAAGGACACCTACCACAGAAGTTCCCCATTTCCAGAGGTTTTCACTAAAGGCTACGATATTTTTTTATGTGCTGCTATTGATTTTCTCTCATTGTCAGTGTAAAATCTCTAAAATCTTAATGCAAGCACAACCCTGAAACTCCCTGCAGCGTCTTCCAGTGGGACACTGAGGTCCCCATTAGATATTTTGAGGAGAACATTTCCTCCCGAACAGTCAGGGAGGGTGACACCTACCACAAGCTCTGCTCTGTAAATCCTGGAGTAGCACATCATTGTGTATATTTTCCCAGGCCCTTTTATGCACATTTGAACATGGAAGCAAATTATGAAGAAGTCCTAGGAGGTCAATCAATGGCATTTCAGTCAAAGACAGAAAATAGTTACCACTACTGAAATCATGGACTACGAACTAGAATTCAGGGGCTATTTCAGAAAGGCTGTTCTGTAATATCTGTTTGTATTTGCAGCTTGGTAGTAGTGAATCATTTAGATTTATTCTTCCTCTCTCTAAAATGATCCAGGGGCTGTTCATTTTCTTCTTCCACTGCGTATTTAACAAAGAAGTCAGGAAGCACTTGAAGAACACTTTAACTGGAAAAAAACCTCTTCCGGATGATTCCACTGCAACAAGAGCTACATTATTAACTGTAAGGAAGAAACACTGGGAAAAAACATCCTCTTGCTGGTGGAAGTTACCTAAATACAGTTATAGTTGGCTTGTCCATAGTTAAGTGTATTGTCTGGTTGGTCTCGGTGACTTGTACAAAGATTACCGATGGCCTCTCTCAAAAGTTTTGATTACTGTTTTAATTAAAACTTTTGAGAGCAAGTATTTTTTTTCCTCGACATCGAAAACCATTTGGTTCCTTCAAGACTTAATGCATGGGTGGGTAACGTGTGGTTTTGATAGGATCGTTCACTGTTGGTTTGTGTCTTTTTTTTACTTTCAGCGATCTCTGAACTGTAACAACACATATATAGAAGAGCCAAATATGTATCGCACAACTATTGGGGAATCCACTGTCTCCCTAGAAAGCACCGTCAGGTCAGCCAAGAGCCACAATAGCTACCTTGCTTATATTCTCAGGTAATCAGGTGGCAGGTGCATGGCTTTCAGGTGCTTGCCTTTCCCTTCTCATTGCTCTTGTGGAAAACAGAAATGTTTTGGTTCAAATGCTACTTGTTTTTTGTCTTAACAGTTCTGTTTTATGTGACTGTCATTTTCTCCCATGCATTTTCTTTTGCATGTGTCTTTGGTGGGGAGTTCCAACAGTGCAGTGCTTAACATAACCACTAGGTTAACTATACGGGCCATGCTGCTTGCCTGTTAAAATTCAGTCATGTCTTAAGGAGTGGGATTTAGCTTATTAACTGCAGGGTTTTTCAGAGTGTGATTCATGTGGCCAAAGGCAGACAGCTAGGTTAGGATAATTTATGTCTTGCTGTAAAAGCGACCACATTGATATTCAAGCACAGGCTGGCGAGCGTCCACTGCAGCTGTCTGCATTTGACCAGAAGAATCTCATCTGCATGTCTGCTTTGTTGTTAAGAACAGTAAAGTGACCAAGAAAGTTGTCCGCTGTTTTTATTCCCTAAGGGATGAGGCTGCTCATAAGCTCAGTGGATCCTCAAGTCAAGCAAGGGCTGGTCAGACTGAAGCAGATTCCTCCATTTTTCATAGGAATCCATCAAAATCCAATGGTAAGAATTACTTCCAAATGCTTTGACCCAGTTTTACACCTTTTCCTTCTCAGCACTTTTTTCAAAGGCTTCGACGATAGAAAGAATAGTTAGTCTGACTCAGTGTGTCTGATTCTCATTATGCTCTTGGCATAATGAGCTATGCAATGGTTGCTTTACTAGGGAATCCTGGAATGGAAATACCATGTATCTGCTTCTTGTGATGGTTCGGTTTTAATCTGACAGCTGTCACAGCTGTTGACAGTTTCTGGCGTCCCCTTTCTTTCTCACAAATTATGTGCTGTTGCTCTTGATTTTTAATTGGAGATCTTTTAACGTTTGAGACCTTGAGGCAATATCCTCTTTTACTGCTGTGTGTTTTGTACAAGAAAATGAAAACTGTCTCTTGCCTGACTTCCTTTCATTTGGGGTCTTAATGTTAAATTTTGTTGCCTTGTAGCAGTTTTTAAGAGTGCATTTGCAGATTCTTAATATTTCTAGGTACTTCGGTTTGCCTGTGTGTTCTGTTGATTGAGATCCTGTGGAGTTACTGTTCTCCGCATTGAATGGGGTAAAAAGCGTCCCCATTCTGTTCTGCACCTCCTGTGCACATAAAAGGTCCTGCCCCCTAGCTGGGCCAAGCAGTTGGGCTTCCCATAATTACTTAGATGGATGGATGCCACAGTCCTTGTGAATTAATCCTATGTACACTTACGGATGTAAGAGCTCATCCCTGGCACGGCCTGAACCAGATGCCTGCCTTTCCTTTCTCCTTTTACGTTTGTCAGATAGATGTGCTCAACTCCTGTCCGTGCTCTCATCGCTGTGTTTCCCCTTTCCACGCTTGTAGAGCACGATTCAGACTCCGACAGCGAACTGTCCCTTGATGAACACAGCAGCTCTTACGCCTCCTCCCATTCATCGGACAGCGAGGAAGATGGGCTCGAGCCGGAGAAAAAGTGGAACACATCCACTTCCAAAAATAATGAACGTGGCCCACTCCACAGCACACCCAAAGGTACTCCCAGTGCGAGGGGAGAGCAATGGACTTATTCCCTTCTTTAAAATAGCTTTAGAGTAGATGGGACAATTTTGCCAGACTAGCAATACAATTGAGACGGCATCCCTACCACTTGCATTTTCTTCCTCCCAAGGGCTTGTTCACGGGGGTGAACAGTGCAAGTAAAAGGATGCTTGAGCAAGTCTGCGACTTACGGCGCTCAGACAGACCGCAGTCAGGGGGTTTGCAGGCAGGTGCTACGCAACCAGGAAAGTCTCACATGAAGGAAGAGGAAGAGGAGGAAGGAGCTGGTTATTTTGAGGGCAGGGGGAAGAAACACCTGCCTCTCCTCATGCAATACGGGCACATGGATTTAGTGGGGTTGGAGAGGTCATGCACCTAAAGAGTAGGAGATCATTGGCCATTGGTATCAATACTGTGTGGCAGAATGCAGGCATTTCTAGGTGCAGTTCATCTTGTTCTAAAGATAAGTCGGCTTAGAGTGACAGATGTCCAGGCTGTGTGCTGGTGCTCTGCACAGACACAGCACGAGGTGCCTCAGGTGCCCTCACCCCTCAGAAGCCAGCATCCCCAGGGAGCTGGTGGGATCGCCAGCCCTGGGGAGCTGAGAGAGCAGGTTTGATTCACACCTGTCAGTAATGGCGGCAGTGACCTTGCTGTGGGAAGCGCCCTGCCATCCTACCAGGCATGTTTTGTGGGTGTTGCTGCACCCGGAGGGCAGTGCAGTCCAGCAGGGATCGTCTGAGGCGTTGCTCTGGTTTGACATGCAACTCCTCCCCAGCCAATGGGAACAGGACTGGCTGGACAGAGGTTGAGAAGGTCTATCAAAAGTGGTTTTCGAGCTAGTGTTTTTTTGCATTGCAGTTGATACCCTTCCCAATCATGTGAAACCCTATTGGCCCACAGAGTACGTAATGGCCAGCGACAGTGAGGACCCCAGCGGGAAGCAGAAACTCAAAGTCGAGACCAAGGTCAACGTAGAGCTTCACAGGGAAAACCAGGTGAACCACAGCAACGAAGCACCCCAGGACAAGGAAAACGAAGGGCAGCAGAAGGAGAACAGACCTCTGTCCTACCAGAATAACCAGCAGCCGGAGCAGAGGAAAGGTAGCATGGCCAACCCAGCCTCACAGCTGGACTGGGAGACCAGGGGTTAACAAGCATTAATTAGTTCATACGGTAGCTGTATCAAAGAAGAGCACTTTCCAAGTGGCTTCAACCTGTGTAACCAGATATGCCATGGGAAGCTTGTAGGTAGTTGCTGAAGTCTAAAATTTTGGTTTTGAAATAAAGTGACAAACTAGAAGTCTGATTAATCATAGAATCATAGAATGGTTTAGGTTGGAAAGGACCGTGAAGATCATCGAGTTCCAACCTCCCTGCCATAGGCAGGGACCCCCTCCCCTAGCAGCAGGTGCACCGGTTGGAGAGGACCTTGAAGATCAGCGCGTTCCAACGCCCCTGCCATAGGCAGGGACACCTCCAACTAGACCAGGTTGCCCAAGGCCACATCCATCCAGCCTGGCCTTGAACACCTGCAGGGATGGGGCCTCAACAACATCTCTGGGCAACCTGTTCCAGTGCCTTACTACCCTTAAAGTGAAAAACTTCTTCCTAATGTTTAATCTAAACCTGCCCTCTTCCAATTTATAGACATTCGCCCTCATCCTGTCACTACATGCCCTAGTAAAAAGTCCTTCCCCAGCTCTCCTGTAGGCCCCTTTTAAGTACTGGAAGGCGGCAATAAGATCTCCCCGGAGCCTTCTCTTCTCCAGGCTGAACAGCCACAACTCTCTCAGCCTCTCCTCACAGGAGAGGTGCTCCAGCCCTCGGATCATCCTCGTGGCTCTCCTCTGGACACGCTCCAGCAGGTCCATGTCTTTCTTATGTTGGGGACTCCAGAGCTGGGTGCAGTACTCCAGGTGGGGTCTCACAAGAGTGGAGTAGAGGGGCAGAATCACCTCCTTTGACCTGCTGGCCACACTTCTTTTGATGCAGCAGTGTCACTTCTTGAATGTGTTCAGCTTGATAAATGAAATTACTGATACATTTCAAAACTCTCATTATTCCCTCTTTTCTGTAACAGGCATCTTAAAAAATAAAGTCACCTACCCTCCTCCACTGGTGGACAAGAATATGAAGAATCGACTGCGGGAAAAGCTATCAGATTACAATCAGACCACGATCTCATCCAGGACTACTTCCCTGGGGACAAATGATGGGGTCCGCTCTCCCTCAGACTCGGGGGTGACAGTAAAAAATGCTCGGAGAGAGCAGTCTCGAGACCAGCTCAATGGCATGGCCATGAACCTCCATGTGGGAACAGGACATGCTGACACCTCAGACTCAGAGTAAGTGCCGCATCGGGATGTCCTGGCAGACCTCCTGTGTCTCCAGCCTCTCCTTTTGCTTTCCGGCCCCAAACTCCCACTGAGCAAGGATTTCACTTGGTGACTGGACCAGAGTCCTTCACCAGTGAGTGCCCTGAGTGCTTGTCCGTACCACGTCCTCAAGCCACGGTGTTTCATTGATGAGAAAGCCAAAACCGAGTATCACAGGCACGGTGCCGTGACCGACACCTGTCAGTGGTTACCCTGGCATGCTCTGAATTGGCAAGCTGGTGTGTTACTGGTATGCTAGGGAATAGAGCAACCTAGCTCTGCCCCGTCCCCTTACTGTGGCACTTGCTGTGCTTGGTGTGGTGACCCATGGTCACAGCGAACCAGGCTCCCTCATCCACATGAATTATCTATCCCCTCCCTGCCTGGTGAGCTGCTGAGGTCATCACCTTCCCCAGCCCATCACCAGGACAAGGACTGGCTTTTTCCAGTCCCTCATGCTGCTGGGTGTCCATGCTAGGCTCAGCAATGCCCACCCATGGCCCCAGGAGCCATATGTGCCCTCAGGGGTGCTCTGTTCAGGGCTACCCCCTGCTCCTGCTGCTCTGCCCCCAACACCTCACCTTCACCCCCCTCAGACCATGGGAACAGTTATTTTTTCCTCTGTTTTTTACCTGTCCTCCCCTTTTGCAGTGGGGAGAGTGTTTGGGGCCATTAAGGACCTATTACTAACGGGGTACAGTTAATTATAATGTGGCCAGTACCAGGCACTGAAGGAAAAGGATAAGTGCAGGGCAAACATGGAGCAGCACTTCTTGATGTGTGTCCAGTAAGACCAGCAAGAGCTGTTGTGGGTGTCTGTCAGCCAGCTTGGAGGAGGGTGGGTGGGGGCAAGACTCCAGTAAAGAGGACCCCTGAGGAAGCCCAGTGTTTTGGGGGGGAAAGGTGCTAAGCTGGGGGGAACATGGGGTGGGTGTCCAGCTGGGCAGAGGGAAACCATTGCTGGAGGAGGAGATCCAAAGGCTACAGAGAAAGTGCCATGTCAAGCTAGTGACACTAAATTGCCAGGTGCACGATTCCCACCCACTACATGGCAATCGGTGTGCGTGTTTGCCATTGTAAGCTAAATCAAACACTAGCAAAAGCCTGAGCAAGCTTCCAGCCAAAGGGTGTTCTCAGAAACCTCATTACTTGTCATAACTCTCACATTTAAAATGAGAACAACAGCCATGTGTAAAGTCTGCACAAACATTTTACGCACATAGTCTTTCTTATATTAACACCCCCATAATGGCCTCATTCTTTCTCCAAACCAAGAGAAAATTTCTCACCCAGCTTCCACTCTGACATTGTCCCACCGTGCTTTAGACACACATGTTGTCTGGATGCACAGACCATTCCCAGCTCACTATAAAAGTACATCTTTGGTTTTCTGGGAACTGGCTGTTGAAATATATCCTGGTTAGCCAGGAAACAGAGATGTCTTTAACAAGCGATAACTACTTGTGGCTACCAGGTAATGCATTCATCACTGGAGAATAACTAGTCAACTTGTACTAAGCAACTGTTTTATCTCCACACCTTTTGCATACTGTAAAACTCTGCTGTTTGACAGCAGAATGCATGAAATACCAGGTTTCTAACAGCCTGTAAGATTTGTGTGTGAACCTCACATCTTCACCCAAGCGTTAGCCAAATACAAGCCCTCTGTAGAGCTTCATCTAAGAGTGCATCTCTTGTGTACTGCCCAGCATTGTTTCTCCCAGCTGGTCATCCCCTCCAGGGCAGCATTGCCCATGCAAGTGTTGGTTTGGCAAAGCATGGAGCTAAAAAAAAAAGCCCGTGCTAAAAAGGATTAGGTGGTTTTGGGTGGAGTGGTTTGCCTGTGTCTGTTTAACCCCAAGCCTGCATGATTACTTCTTCTCACTAACAGAGGCAGTAACGAAACTTCGATTTGAACCATCAGGAAACTGTGATCGCCGCTGCACAGTTCTGAACTCCTTGCCACAGGGTCGCCGCCTGCCCGCCTCGGACTTCGTCGGAGTGGCCGCATAGCGAGGAGGATGAGGTGGGCATTGATTCCCACGTGGTTTCACATTATGGCAGACTCCTGACCGCGCGCGGCGGATACACAGTGCCCAGTTGCGCCTGCGATAAGGCTGCTGTGTGGTACGTTCTGCGCGGCATCAACCCATGCCAAAACACGTGGAAATGGCCACAAGGATGCACTGTGAGGGACGGATACCTGCTTGCAGTGTGGACGGTGCTGCAGGGGTTGCTCATTACTGGGGAGAACCAAGGCAAAACACGTTATTATCACAGTGGACCCACAGTAAGTCAGTCCATCAGCCTTAAGACAAGCACCAGGAGACACCTCTTGCGGAGTTTTGTCTGACTACAGTGTGAACCCTTCGGCTTGCTGGGCTCTAGGGAGGAATATCCCAACAAGTGTCCTTTCGTTTCTATGCCAGCATCTCTATCCACACCCCTATGGACTTGTCATCTTAAGAATAAAAAAAAAAAAAATCCTTTATATATATATAAAAAGTGTAGATACTTTTATATATTTTGTATGGTGTTGCTAAAGAAAAAGTTGCTTTGTATATTTTACATTTATATGGATCTTCTTAATTTGATAATAGGAAATCAATTAAAAGAGGTTTTGATATTTTTTATATGAACATTGCACAATTTTACTTGAATTTGGCATTTGATAAAGTAACTGAGGTTTGCATGGAAGCCACCTTAAGATGCAATGCAATCTTCAAAGTAATATGGTAAAGATTACATTGAAATCCATGGCTGTAATTTATAAGTTTTGTTGACAGATTTTGGAACACTTTAAGGACACAGTATGTTTTTTTTTCGTAACCTCTTCTAAAACCTGCAAAAAAATGTTTTGTTTTTTTTATTTCTTGGTGTTTTGACCTCTTCTCTCAAGTGCATTGAAATGTTCAGCAACTAAATGTTCAGGACTAAAAATAAGTCATATCTTCATCTAAGATTTCAACACAGTTCTTGTCTGGAAGAAGTCAAATCAATGTTTCCCTTACCAAGAACAAGAAAACAAGTGGGTCGTTGTATGGCTTTGACTTTGGTCTGGCTCTGCAACAAACCAGTGCTCTGCGTGTCCCAAGAAGAGGGCCCTCCTCCTGTGGGGCAAGTTCTGCCTCAGGCACAGTATTTTATTTTACTGTTAATTTCTTTCACACTGGTGTCAGCACGTTGCTAATCAAAACAGAAATACAAGTCTTTAAGGATGCCCAAGTTTCACTGCCCAGCTCTTTGACAAAGCCCCGGCCTTCTTGCTGTTTCAAAAAGCACGTGAAAGGCTTAAGGTGACATGTTTCCTGCAAAATATGCTGGTTTCACAAGTATAGGAAAGTTAAGCATGGCCTGTCTGCCACCTTCACCTTCCTGCAGTGTTTACAAGGAAAGAAAAAATAAGATGTGAAAAAGTTTGCATCCAACAGCTGGGGCAGAGGTCTGCTGGAAGCTGCCCATGGTGGGAATACGCAACTCAGAGGGTGGCGACGGTGTGGCCGTGATCTGCTGTCTGTCACCAAGGCTTTCAGGAGCGCCTCGCTCGCTGTAGCAGTCCTTTTGGGAAAATACTGGCTTTCGTTTGTGTAACTGTGTGTGCGAAAGGGAAAAAAAAGAGAAAATCAGGCTAAATAAAATGCAGAGGTTGAGGGAAAAATGAAATAATATATACTGTAATCTTGGCTTCACTGTATTCGTATGCATTTTCAAATGTATCGAGGAGGCCTTTGGAAGGGGAGAGGGAGGAAAGGTGCTGTTCCTTTAAAAATTATGCAACATACTGTGTGACATTTTCTGACTGAAAAAAAGTTTTGAATGTTTTAAGGGTCTGGCACTTGGCTGTGTGCTCAGGCATTGTGTATAACCCACGCTAGTTGTTTTTACATCTGTGTATGTATATTTTGTCCCAGTGAGATGTAGGTAGTTTTATTTTGATCAGAATTGTTGCAGTAAATGAGGGTCAGCTGTATTAATGACAAAAAAATTAAAACCTATTTTTATGACTTTTTAAGAGCTTTATGGCAGATTAGACACTGGAGGGTTTTTTTTTAACAAATGTATATTTATTAATGTGCAGAACACTGGAATTGCAGCACAGATGAAAGGAGAATTTACAATAAATTAAGAAAAATTTTTTTTGAACTTGTATTCTTCATCTGGTGGTTTATTTTAAGTGCAATACAGATGCTGAGGATCCAAATGGCATTTCCCAGGGTTTAGAAAGTAGCAGGAGGGGGAACGTACGGGTGCCCATCGCTCTCGCTGAGGAAGCTGAGGCTGTAAAGCGTCAGACGCCAGCGCTGCTCCCTGTGGGATGCTTCCAGCCCCGGATGTTGTCTCATGGGGGCTTTGCTCCCAGTGGACATCCACACACACAATCCCCCTTCCAGCCCAGTGCCCTTCGCTGGCAGAGGATGCCACCGCATACATTGCGTTTCAGTCCAAACCTGCGGCATTTCTCACACCTGGGAAACAGTCTGTGGAAGGAAAACACCTTCTTCTAACCCAGAGCGATGCAGACCGCCGGGAGAGCACTGGGTTTAGAAAACACAATTTGGAGAGGAGCAAGGGGGGGATGAGGCAGCCAGCCCAGCCCATGAAAGCCTGCAATGAGAAGGACCTTTTTGGACTTTCTTGGCTACGTTCTTGGCTTTCCCAAGCCAGCTGAGGCCAAGCCATGGTCTTGCTCACTCTGTACTTTTCAGGCTGTCATGCAAGTCTTCATTCACGCGTCTCACAAGGCACAGCAGTGACCTGCACGTGTCTGCCAGCTTTCTGGAAATACAAGTATTTCTCAGTATCATCAGGCCAGTTTTTCCGTAAATGTTTCTAAACATCAGGCAACAAACTGGGAGAGTGTGAAGTCAGGGAGAGAGAGGCTGGTTACTGTCATGATTTAGGGGCAAAATCAAAGAGAGGATCTTCAATTTGCAAACAGCTCTGCCAAAACTAAACAAAATTAAACAAATCCAAGCAATTAGCCCAAAGGGAAACTGTTCTAAATTTTATTGTACAAGTTCATTTTTTGGTGGAACACTAATACATGAGTTTGTCTCAAGTATTAGTTCACTTTACTGTGGAAAAGCAGAAATAAGCCTCAGGCTTTCACATAAGCAGGATAGTTAGGGGACAGACCAGCCTGTGATCCTGTCACCGGTAACAGCCAACAGCAGATGTTTCGGAAAAGAGGATTATCAGCCACACGTTACATGGCAAGGTGGCCCCAGCAGGGTCCACAGCCCCCACCACGCTGTAGCGCAGGTGTCCCCAACAGGAGGGGTTGTGCTTGTCTCCAGCAGGCTTTTTTTTTCTCCAATAGCGTGTACTGTTGTGTTTTGGCCCCATATAAACTTCTGGTACACATTGCGTTGCCTGATTCGGTCATAAGCAGCATGAAGCTCATCTTCAGCTTTAGTGCTGTTCCCTGCAATGGACACCTTTGCTGCCTGCACCACGAGAAGCAGTGAGCAACCATTTCTCAGTCACCTTCTCCAGGTCACAGAGGAAGACTGGCTCTGTCCTAGAGCACTTGGGTTGCCTTTTTCCACCTGAACAGCTCAGAGCTCTGTAATTGTTCCTCACGCAGAAATGCTGCTGTACATTTTAGCCTTCCTTCTTGCCCTTCTTCAACCCCTTCCCATGTCTAATGTAGCCCTTCTGGAGATGGCACAGAGACAGAAGATGCCACAGCAGCCCACAAAATGCAAGCAGTATGCCTACCAACAACCAAAAAAAAAAGAAATAATAATAATAATAAAATCTCCATTTCTTTCCTTTTTAGTGTCCTAATCTTTACAATGACATTCGGCCTAAGCAAATTGTAAGAAAAAAGACTCCAGAAGAGATGGACCAGTGGCAACACCATGGCACGATAAGGCTGCAGTAACCTAAGCAGTCACATAGTCCAGGCACTCCCACAACCCAGGGTACTTGGGGGTTTGTCTACTGTTCTGAAAAATCTAAATGATGATTCCAGTACATCTGTGAATAGCCCATAATGGCACTGCCTACCAGGAGGAGTTAGTTTGTCCGTATCCTTATGTCCTGCTTAGAGGCGCAGCTTGCTCAGCTGCAGAGTGCTCCTGCCGAGGTCAGGGGGGAATGTTGCAGAAAGGAGATTCCCTGACAGCCCTGGTGAGATGTTGCCTTTGTCCACACCAACATCATCTGCAGCACCAGAGCCAGTCTGGGATGCATTTGGGCTCCACAGCCTCGTATGCAGCTCACTTTTCCCCCCTTTAAGTAGCAATTTGCACTGGACTCACTTTCCATTTTAGTCTCTTGATTTTTTGATCCAGTCTCCAGCTTTGCATGCTCATTTTGGAGTTTATTCCTGTCCGTGAGGATGCTTGGAGTCCTTTGGCAGCATCTGCAGCCTTTACAAGCTACCTTTTATTTCATCATTCAAACCATGAATGAAAATATCAAATAAAACTAAGCCCAAGAGGGCTCTTGTAAAACTTCCCTTCTTGCCAAGCAAGTTTTGCACCTACCTCATATTGCTAAACGTCAGCCCGCACTGGCTGTGTTTTGCGTATGAGCGTACAGCGTGGGACAGTATCAAACCATTTACTGAAGGCATCCCATCTGCTGCTGCTCCTTTATCCACCACGCCAGGTGTTGTATTAAAGAAGAAAATTAGATTAATCTGACGTGTGTCTTGCAAAGAGACTGTGTTAATTCATTATTGTCTTCTATATACTTAAAAGTATTTGTAAGTGCCCTCAGGAGACCCCTAGAGCTCTGTACTGGGCTGGTGTCTCCCCGTCTGTCATAGTCAGACATCTACTGCTGCCATCCCTCTGCTCAAAGACCACTGTGAATAGGGTATCCACTCCTTCAACCTCAAATATTACATACTCAGAGCATATTTTCTTTATTTGAAGGGAGGCTTAGACCGATGTGTCTCTGAACCGGTGCTTCATGAAGGCAG